TTGGAAAGTTAATGATTCATGAAGAAAATTAAAAAGAAATCGATGTTTAAAGAGGAGTTGTATATACAGGGTGTATAAAAAAAAACTGAACAGATTTGAAATTGCTCTCATTTTCGCAAAACAGCTATTAGTATCCAGTTTTTTATATATATGGCTTCTTTGGGTACTTATAATGTAGAATAGTGGCAAAAATTTCGCGAACACAAATTTTGTAAACCAGGGGGGGTGTCTTTTCCGACAAACTAAAAATGGCTTGGGCACGCATTTAAAAGCTATAATCGTATTTTGAGTTAATGGTTGAAAAATGTGTTGGGTGTTTAATTGTTGCACGAAATTTCAGACAATTTGCTTCAGTTTAAGCCCTTCAACTATCCACGCAAACTTACATTTTTCTTAAAAAATCAGCAATTTGCATGCTTAATTATTAATGCATTTGCGCAATTCGCATATGTCAGCAATATGCAAATTAGGTACTGGCATTAATTAAGCATGCGAAAGTTTGCGAAATTGAGAGCAATTTCAAATCTGTTCAGTTTTTTTTTATATACACCCTGTATATTACTTAACATCAGTGATGGAACACATATATATGGTGCTTGATTAGACTGATTAGACGCTCCGAGGAGTTACATCAGGGTGCAGAAAGCAGTCTCTACTTTCAAAGGAATATCATACATAAATAACACTTAATAAGTGAATGCAAGAAGGGAGCACACACACAAGGCAACATCGCTCGAATTCTACACTGGAAGTTTGTGGTTTGTACCAACAAGCGAAAGCTGAAAAAGGGTATGAGCACCAATCGAACGGAGTAATTGAACCATATGATGTAAAGATTCTATGCATGGGATTTTAACATTCATGATTGAATGATTGAATGTCGAAGACCTGATGTTGTATAGTGATTTTAAAGAAGGAAAAGGAGTGTAAGGTCATAGCGATCGCAGTTCCAGGGCACTGTAGAATAGGTCTATAAGAAACAGAGAAGATAGAAAAGTATCAAATCAAATCAAATATATTTTTGCCACAAAAAATAACAGTATAGAAAATATACAATTAAGGAATTATAAACGGCAAGGAAGCCCAAAAGAAACCAAAAGGCTTATAGAGTTTTTTTTATTTAAACATATTTTATTCTCAACATTTTCTCCAAGAGCTAGGCTCATCGAGGGAGATCATGTTGACTTATTTAAAACATTAGAGTACATCGTGTTTAAATAAAAGGTATACACAAACATGATAAAATAATTATAAAGAAAAAGAAGTATAGTTAAGCTCAGTGAGGAGATCTCAAAACCTAAAGATAAGTTATTACGTATTAATATTCAATTCAATTAACAAAACGCTTAGTTTGGAGAATAAACAGTTGAACATTCCGCATCAAAATTTGATTATCTTCATAACCAAGTATTTGTGAACCATATAGAAATGTTTCGACTATCTGATCTTCCGATAAGCTCAACCACGTAGCGTGGAGCAACTGTGCAGACGAGGAAAGCAAGCATTGTCGCTGAGCAGCATATCGGGGACAGTGCAGAAAGAAATGTTTAATTGATTCCACTATTCCCCATCTACATTTACAATATGGAGAAATTGCACAGTTAATACTATATAAATGCGAATTCAATGCACAATGACCTAGACGAAGTCTACTATGTAGTATTGAACTGTATCGATTTAACATGGTGTTGTAGAGAGTATTATATTTCATTCCATAAAATACATTATATAGTTTACTTTTGAATAATAGTAATGATTCTACATTACACAAGTCATTATCAAGTTCATTCCAAGCTGCAATTACTGATGGGAAAAATTTTTTTTAAAACGTTCGGTACTAGTAGGAATATAGGTGAAATTTTCATTAGATCTAAGGTGGTGATCAGATCTCTGATAGACATATGGAGGTAAAAGATCACGAAGGTAGGATGGAGTGAGGCCGTTTATTATTTTACAAAGCAACGATAATTTATGTAGAAATCGTCTAGTTTTTAGATCTTCCCAGCATAGTTCGTTTAATAATCGTACCCTGTTTGTTCCTTTCATTGCTCCAGTAACTATACGAGCCGATTCGTTCTGTATTCCCTCTAAAAGATTTGCTTCACTTTCAGCGGTACATCCGTCCCAGATGACATCAGCATATTCCATCAGAGGTCTAACAAGACTTTTATATAATGAGATAAGGGTTGATCTATGGAGCTTATATTTTACACTTTTTAAGAGATTCATCATCTTGCTAGCTTTTTTATGTATACTTTGAATATGATGATTCCAAGTAAAATTTGACGTAAATTTCAATCCTAGATGAATATGAGAATTAACTTCTCGTAAAGCATTGCCGTCTAAATGTAATGTGGGATGTGTTTGTCCAGAAAGTTTTCTTGAAAAAGTAATACTTTCACATTTGGAAGGATTCAGCTCCATTAGCCATTGTTTACACTGACTAATTTTATCAAGATCCAAATCTAATTTTGAAGCAGAACTTGTTGGGTCGTCAGTTATATCAAATAAAGATGTGTCATCAGCGTAAAGAAAACAATTAGATACAATGTCTACACCAATATCGTTAATATATATAAGAAAAAGCAATGGCCCGAGTACAGAGGCCTGTGGGACACCAGCTTCAGTGTTTAACCAACTCGAGGTCTGCCCATCGATAACAACTCTTTGTTTTCGGTCTGTTAAATAACTACGAAACCAACTTAGGAGAGGGGGTCTTTCAGCCCAAGAGTTTGCAATTTGTAAAGTAAACCCTTATGCCATACCTTATCAAATGCTTTAGTAAAATCAAGAAAAACCATACGTACTTCTTTCCCCATATCCAAGGCTTGATAAATTATATGAACAATATAGGTGAGTAGGTTAACAGTACTATCACCAGGTCTGAATCCAGACTGAAAATCACTAAGGAAATGTATTTCTAATAAAAACTCATACAGCGTTGCAAATACAATTTTTTCTGATATTTTTGAAATAGATGGTAGAAGGGATATGGGACGGTAATTCTCTTTATACTGATGGTCATCTTTTTTGTATATAGGACTTACGTTGGCTCTTTTCCATTCAGCGGGATATTCGCCATTTTGAAAGCTTAAATTAAGTAAATTTGTAAATGAATTTTTAATGCCATTACTACTTAGTTTAAGAATCTTGTTTCCAATACCATCAGGACCACAAGCTTTTGAAATATCAACCTTCTCCAGTAACATCAGAACTTCTCGTTCTGTTGTATGAATTATTGATGTTTTATCAGACTGGAAATAAGTTAATAATGGCAACTGACAATTACTATCGTTAATTCTAGATTGATTAACAAAGTAGTCATTGAATAAGTCCGCTTTTTCTTTCGAGTCAAAAACAATCTCACAGCTCTCTTTAATAGGTGGTATGGAGGTATGATTATTGTTATTATTAAGAGTGAATTTAATGTAATTCCACCACTTTTTTGGACCTAACGAAGGATCTGATAGTTTATTATTTAGTTTACAATAATACGAGGTTTTAGCTTCACGAATTAACCACGTTGTATAATTTCTCTGATTTTTGTAACGGCGCCAAAGCAAGTCAGTTTTCCATTTACTAAATTGTTTTAATAATCTATTTCTTTTTCGAATTGCAGTTCGTACCGCTGATATCATCCAAGGTTTGTCTCGAGGTCGTATTACAACTGTTTTGTTTGGAATGTATTTATCAATTATAAGTCGAAAATACCGAAACCAATTTCCATAAACATCATCAATCTGAATAGAATCTCTAGTACAATCTTCCCAATTGATATTCAAAAGATCTTCATTTAGCATTGTCATATTAATATTGGAGAAATCCCATATGTGTCTTTTAAAAGCTCTTTGTTTAGAATATGTAATACTCATTTTTGCATAAATGTAGGAATGATCGCAGTTCGTGGGTGGACTAAATGTTCCCTGGTTTACAAAATATTTAGGACAATTAGTGATTATGACGTCTAATATTGTAGCTGTGTTGTATGTCACACGAGTTGGGTCATCGATTATTTGGGACAGGGCATTGCACTCGAGCCAATGATAAAAACGGTTACCAAACGCGGTACTTAGTAACTTATTTCGGTCATAGTGGGCATTTAGATCACCCACAATCACCATAGGTAAATGTTGGTTTAATCGAATTTTATCAATAACACTCTGGAAAGAATCTAAAAAAAGTGTTGTTTCTTCTAGAGAGTTATTAGGTGGTCTGTAACATACCCCACATAACAGGGTTACTCCATTCATTTTAATTTCAACCCAAAGTAGTTCTAAATCCATATTTTCCAGGTCATTACGTCTTTTGAATGCAAGTGATTGTGCTACGTATAAAGCAACACCGCCACCGCGCATACCAGACCTGTCTTTTCTAATGATAGAATAATAGCCTGGAATGTATAAAGATTCATCAGAACTTTTATTGTCAAGCCAAGTTTCAGATACCGCGAATAGATCAAAGCTCTTGTCTAAAATAAATGAGGAAATTTCTTCAAATTTCTCTTCGTTAGCTAAACTTCTAGCGTTTATATGTCCAATTGTTAAGCATGACATTTTTGGGCCAGGATTTAATTCAATATCTCCTGCCATTATTAACAAAATTGATAAAAAGATTATTAACAAAATGCATAGACCCCATCTGTGTCTCGTCCGAATTTGCAACACACTGGATTTTATATTAAGACGGCATTTTCTGTTATTAAACATACCGATAGCTGCTCTGTAAACAACAATACTAACCTCCATTAGGCATAGTATAAAACTTACCAGTCTGCACAGCTGCTCGAAAACCACTTATAGTAATAATATTACACGCGAGAACCACACAAGAAGAACCTAAACAACGTTCTTCCAGAACAAAGATAAATAAAGTTAATAGAGTGTTAAAGTCAAGTAGGCCTATTATAAACATATTAAGTATAGGACTATAGGTGCGGTCATAATAACTGCTAGTTTACAAGCCAGTCCTCGTATTGAAATAACCATTTAATATAGGATTAATTAGACCAAATTAAATTTTTCAAAATCATCCATGTGATGAATTCGAATTATTTTGTCGTCTTTATTACGAACTAATATTTTACCGTCCGTCGTCCAGACAGATTTAATATGAGTATTATGTTCGCGAGCGTATTTGAACAGATTAACGTTGTACTTGGTCAGGTCTTCATTTATATAAAACTGTGTGCCTTTCAGATCTTTTCGTCGTTTACAAATTGCAGCCTTTGTACCATATGATTTGAATTTTACAATTAGCGGTCTTGACCGAGTTGAGATCTTTGGGCCAAGGCGATGTGCACGGTCAATTTCTTCTTTAACGATATTGAGATGCAACTTTTCATCTACAAACTGAACTACCTTTTGAACGCAATCTTCACCATCGGTTTCGACCAACCCTATAATTCTTAAGTTATATTTTCTGGAGTATTGCTCATTTTCATTCGCTTTTATTGTGACCTTTGTTAACTCTGTTTCCAGCGCTTCGATTCGCTTTATAAGAGGAAATGTAGCTTGTTGAACGGATTGTTCGATGAGTGTATTTACTGCTTCAGATAGGATCGTCTTAAAGTCAGATGATTTAAAGAATTGGTGCAACTCACTTTGTATAGCTTCCTTCATGTCTGCTCGAAATTCATCCGGTTGATTTGTCGTTTGTCTTGTAACTGGCATTTTGGTATTCTTCAATCACAAATATTATTAATGTGCACCTTATAGCCACAAAAGACAATTACATAGTAAAAGAATTAGCTTCTTGAAGTGTATAATCTGATGATATTGTAGGAGCTCTGCAAAACATGTCTGTACTCAACGGAGTTCTGTATAGGCCTGTAGGCCTATAGAGTTTGGACTACCTTTTACATTCTGATAAGGCCGAAGCTCATTTGAAAAGGGAAATTCGGAAAATATGTGCAAAGAAGAAAGTAAAATTCCAATATAATAATTGGATTGAGAAATTGGGAATACATAGGCCTATAAGAGTAGAATTTCTTCGGAAAACAATAATGCTAGGGACAGTAAGAATACTGAGAAGAAGTTTGGAAAGCTAAAATCTTTGGGACCTGGGGCTACTCGTTGTAGCCATCTTTTAGCATAAGAACAAGGCTGCATGTGAAAGTATTTAAATAAAAACGACACGACTACTGTAAGTTTGGTATGTGGAAACACCACGTATATCTATTATTTGCACTTATAACCTTAACTTATTAAAAATGTGACTGCTTGAAAATTTAATAATCATAGATATGGATATATCTGACAATAAAAAGCAATATGTTCTTTGAATGTTTGTATAGCCATGCAATAAAATGACAAGTGACAATAAAAATACACATCGAACTTAACTGTACAACGTCCTACTTCGCATGGCGTTTCTGAAGGATTTTTAAGCTTTCGGCACGAACACCAGAACATTACAAGACCTTAATTTGACCACGAGGAAACCGCCGTTCTAGGGTCCAATTGCATGTATCTTTCAATAAGAGCCCATTCAGCCAACCGGAAACTCGCACAAGTGATATCTGCATGCATGCCTTCTGTTAACGCATATTAAATTAAATTTATGTTCATACGAGAAACACGCCTGCCTGGCTATGTAACAAATGGGGGGTCAGTCAAATGGGATAAAAAATTTTCCACATGAAGACTTTATCACACCCCGTGATCACACCTGACCGGGATGGACAATTTTTGTCGATTTTGACCTATACTGTAGTACGAAACGGCATAGTTGGAAAATACAAACAAAAAGTAAACATTAATAAACCGAAGCAGACATTATTAAAGTCGCAATACAAGATGCAATTTGTTTAATTACAACTAAAAATATTTCGAAGACACCATGTTTACATAATTTCGTCCTAACGGGACGGGATATTATAGGTGGATAAAAACCGTCATATGAACACAGAAATAATTAATCCCATGCACTTCAGGTGAACAGACCCATAAACTGGTTTGACCTGTAAAAATATATTTACTTGATAGTTGGTTGTGTATAGTTTTGCTTGTCTAATCAACATGTATATATGTTAAAGAAAGTTCTACTTATTAAAAGCAAGCAATGTCAAAAATATCTTATATTAACCTGAAAATTGCAATTAAGAGTGCATTAATATTCATATGCTGGTATTAAAAACTGTATTTTGGCAACAAAAGCAAGAACGAATTAATTTCGCAGCAAAAGCAATATGATGAGCGGTGGTGTTTTTAGTTCGAGGTTTTAACCTTGTGAGCTTAGCTCATTACAACAGCTAGGACAATATGAATCTGTCAGAAAAAGAATTCATGATGTGTAATATTTTTGGAACAGAATATGACTTCATCGGAAAGCTTCCGTCTCATTCATTGTATATAAACCACATTATCGTTCTTGCAATAAACAGCTTCTTGGTGATACCAACAATATTACTGAACGCTATTTCAATAATGACCATTTCAAAGTCATCTCAACTGAAAAGCAAGCCTTGTTATTTTATCATTCTTATTCAATCTGCAGCAGATTTGGGAGTTGGTGTTTTGGGGATACCTTTATATCTTGCCAGTCTTTCTGGTGAAATAAGAGGAGATTCAAACTGCTTTGTAGCAGTTCTATCGTACAGTTTATCGCCTATAACAATTGGGATATCGACGCTTTTATTATTTGGGATGACGTTGGAAAGATACATTGCAGTACTACATCCATATTCATACAGTCGAGTGACAAAGAAGAAGATTTTGATCTTTGTATGTTTTGCTGTTAAAGTTGTCGTTTTCGTGGTTATTTTCTCGTCTGCATTTCGAGTACAGCGTGCTATTTTCATAACTGCAACGGTAACACTGTTTTTCATTTTCTCTGCTTTTGTCTACACAAGAATTTATCTGGTCATCATAAAGATGGTCGACTCACAAAACATCACGCACAGCGTTGCTGGCACAGAACGAAACTTAACAAGAAAGAAACGTTTCCTCCAAGAAATAAAGCAAGCGAAATCTTGTTTCCTTGTTGTTTTGTGTTTTTTTTCCCTGTGTGTCTTGCCAGTGATACTGACATTCATTGTCGTAATCAAGGGCAACCGATTGGAGGTGCAGGCGTTTTATGCCTGGACAACGACGCTTGGCATGTTGAATTGTAGCGCTAACTCGCTGATATTCTTTTGGACCAAAACCATGTTGAGAAGGGAAGCCGTAAAGATGTTGAACTCTGTCTTAAACCATAGTTCATAGACATTTGGGGGAGGGAGGGTGGGCAACCACGCTTATGTGGCTGTCTTAACTGTTAACATACTAGTTACCAGGTCTCTGTATCTTGTTTGTCCAATTCTTTGCTTCCATCAAAAATGAAGGAACTTTTACGGTTTCCATTTATAAAATCGTTTTTATAGGTGTCTACGGCAGACATTATACCAATACAAAACAAGAGAGACATGATAGGTAGTGTGTTGCTATGACAACAACATAAACGTCCAAAAATGTTTGTTTAGCTGCATTTACTAACTGTACCAAATTTCATTTCATTTCGTTAAATCACTTCTGAGATATTAGACTTTCCTCTTTTTGCTACCATCTCAAGCACAACTAATGATATCATAACACAAAAATACAAAAGCCCAATGACTTGAGAACGAGATGAGCTGTGTTCAGGCCATTCTTCATCATTTTCAAGGCACTTTGTAATAATGCATAAAACATGTGTGTGTGTGTGTGTGTGGGGGGGGGGGGTCGTGTCATGTGCTCTTTAAGGTAAAAAGTTTTAAGAACTAAAATTTCCAGCGGCAAAATGTGCCCCAATATTTCGCAAAGTGTTCGTCCATTGTCTAAAATCTGGAGTGTAAGCACAATAGAATTAAGTCGTTACATGAGACCGAAAGGAAGCAAAAGAAAGACGATTTTGCTTCTCCTGTGGTGTTGCCTGTACAATCACGGTTTACATGAAAAATGGATATAAAATAGCACAGACCAGGTCTGAGACGAATTTGGCGCGGGATAAATGTATATATTAGAATGTGTTATGAGTCAATGTATATATTTAATGTAGTATGGGTCAAATCCATTGATGTCATTACTATAGCAAAGTTGGACAGTTAATAATTCATGAAGAAAATTCAAAAGAAAGGTTTAATCATCATTTTAATCATCATTTAAATCATCATTTAAATGTCTTAACCATCTAGTCGACTTTGATTTTAACCTTACCATGATCTCCCATATACATAGCCATAAAATACACCAGAATAACAACTACTACCTTCCACGCTCACGTATACGAATTGGGGAAACTCATTGCCTATTGAACTAAAACAATCTACTAATCTTAATTTCTCTAAATCTAAACTAAAACAATTTATGTAAGTAAGTTTTATCTAATTAAGTTGAACAATTTATCTAATTATGTTGAAATTTTCCAACAATGAAGCATAGTTATATATAATCCATTTGTAAATATTTTATAGTAATTATGTCAAACATTTTATCTAATTAAGTTGAACAATTTATCTAATTATTTTGAGATTTTTCAACAATGAAGCATAGTTATATATATACTATGAACAGCCAAAAGAGATGCACAAAATGCCCTTTAAACTGGAACACTGGGTATTAACATAAAGCATAAAAAAACATATAAAAGTGGATGTAGGCGAGACAAGCATAGGCCATAGAGTAACCTACCTAAATAGATTCTAAAATATTTATTTGACTAGTTTCACCAAACTTTATACCTCTTTTAATACTCTTCGTTGATCACAATCGGGCCAGTCATCAATACAAAACTATATTTTCAAGCGGTACAAGAGGGGGGGGCTCTTTAAAAAGTATAAAATGCATAAGGGAGGGCCTTGAAAAGGCATATAATTTTTGAGGGGGGGGCCAAAATTTTTTTCCAAATTTCTAGTTTCTCCTCCATCCCCCCCCCCCCTTGCCATATTTAATGACCGGTCCCTAATCTCTCCCAACTGTAGACATTCAAAATTTACAACATTGATTGCGGATTGCATTTTGGAAATAAGTGAAACTAAAATGATTTCTGATGGACATTCATTTTCACAATTTGTGAAAAGTTGGCCAAATCTTCCGCGAGATATTATTTTAGGGAAGGCGCATATTTCGTGTCACACTGGAAATATAGGAAACAGAAAAGTAGGGTTTGTACTGTTTAATTCTTTTCTATATAGAGTGCTTTGTGCCATAGTTTTCTATACACAGTTTCTGGAAAAAACGCGAAAGCTATGCTCTGGATTATTTTATATACATGCAGCTAAGTTTTCGATGTCTTCGAATGATTAGTTGCGTAAAATATCCAGAACATATAAATTGCATTTGTACTTTTTTTCGGTACTCCCCGCATAACATTGAATGTATACCACCTACAATAAGAGTATACAGAAAAACAACTTATTCATCAACTTACTTTAAAGGTTGCAAATCTCCCGATTTTCCTTTGTCTTTCTTATCTTTTCCTAAGGCTGGAGGTTTGAGATCAATACAAGTTCCAACTCGTATCAACAGACAGGCAAACAAACGCGGAAATTGCTTGGAAACTAGCTCTGTTATTTCCTCCGACCAAAATAGCTCATGAAAAGCATTAGTTACCTAAACATTAAGAAAGGACTGAGCAGACAAGTCAAGAAATCTGCGGTTCTAAATAAGATGCCGAATTTAATATTTTAAATAATTATATTCTTCTATTTTATAACCATCCCCTCTCGCAGCCGGGTTTACATATTTCATATAAACAATATTTAGTAACAAAAGATATGGCAATTTTTCCAAAAGCCATATAGGCTTATCTATACGGAAAGCTTGCCTGAAATTATTAAATACAGTTTGTATATATAGGTAAATTAGTACTAAGATTGCAAATAACCATGCATCGATTGATGATATTAATTAGCATATACCCGGGAGGTGGATATAGTGCTTTCCACGCAATATGATTGGTTGCTCAGCACAGTCTTGTACTATTTACCTCCAGACAAAAACAAAATGGCTTCCTGTTTGGTTCCGATTACAGACGAGCACATTTTGGTCGGTGCTAAACGAAGCTGCAGTTTCGGCAAACACGAAGAAAATCTTAAAGTTTTGTTTACCAGTGTGTAGAGGTATTCTTTAAAGTTATTTCTAATGAATAAAATCAATAAAAGCGTGTAAATACTGTTTTGTGTCAACTATTACGTGAGCTGAAGACCAAATCTTTTTAAATTTAAAATATTTTCGTTGGTTTTTTGCTCATTTTTGTTTTGTTGTGGTATATGCTAAAACAAATATTCACCTCAGTGTCGGTGAATTAATTGTGAATTATTAATTAATAGCAGGGCGATAAAAGTTATAGAAAGTATACAACAACACAACATCCGACATACCGACATAGCAAGTACTGTAGCAGTTCTTGTTTTAGTGTCGTTTTTCGCAACTTTCTCTTGGTAAGGCAGGGTAACGTTCAATAAGTTAACCAAATGATCCAAGACTTCGGGCACAAGTGTCGAATCACCACCTAATGTTTTCCAAATATCGACAGTATCCCTAGAAGTACGATGGAAAATACATGTATATATATATACATATATATATATATATATATATATATATATATATATATAATATATATATATATATGTAATATATATATATATATGTAATATATATATATATATGTAATATATATATGTAATATATATATGTAATATATATATATATATATATATATATATATATATATATATATATATATATATATATATATATATATATATATATATATATGTATAATATATATATATATGTATATAATATATATATATGTATATATATATATATGTAATATATATATATATATATATATATATATATATATATATATATATATATATATATATATATATATAATAGCATGCTAAATGCTGCTATGATAGGAGAGGGTGAAAAAATATTGGAACATTTGAAGCAGTGTTGCACAGTGGCATAATGCAACCTCAGGAGGCCCCCCGTCAATTGGCTGCCCCCGAGTCCCCACCCACTAAAGTACAGTGGTATTTGCATGAAATACTTCATTTTATCGCCGTGTAAAGTTTAAAGCCTTTGCATGTTTTTGTTGCACTTGCAACATTGTTTATCGCAAAACTAAAAGCAACTCAGCTAGAGGTAGGCCTATTGTCAGAAGTCTCAGAATGTTTTGGAATTACTAATTCATGTATTTTAATAACTGCTTTTCTGTTTTTCATTATTCAATTCCTTGGAAATGTACTATCATTGTTGGTCATTTTTAATTATGTGGGCAAATATGGCTAAAAATTATTATATTTTAGCAATTGCCGGCCCTAGCTTTGGACAAAGCCTCTTTCACAGGTGAATGAAATATGGAGCCAAAACACATTTGGGAAAAGAAAACAAACTTTTGTGGCTATTTATAGGTTTATATATGCCAGAAAGCACTGCAAGGATAAATTTTCCCGCCAAAACAGATTTAAGTACAAGGTTCATAATGTATAGTGTTTTGACACGCCGTATTTCTGCTCGTAAAATTGACAGATGGCACATTCTGTATTAATGTTTGTACTGTAGAGAAAGAACAAGTATCACTTCATATTTCCATTACAAACGATCTTTGTCAGGATGGTAAACAAATCCTACAAACCTGAAATTCTATTGCCATTCCATCCCTCGTATTCAGGCGGTAATTGTCTGCCTTAATACAATCACGATCGAAATTTTGCAACAGAAAATACCGCGATTACCGTCTTGTTTTGCCATAATGTAGATAACTATATCCTTTAACCGCCTACTAAGTTTTCCGGAGGTTTTTGGTTCAAGAAATCGTAGTTATATTACCTTTTCTTCGACCACACAATTAATTAGGGAATAGTCAAAAAAGCCTGGGGACTAGGTGCTCTGACGGATCTGAAATAGCCGGTCTAGCCCTGTCCGTTTACCACAAGGTGAGATTATATCTTAACGTACCGAGGGTTTTCACAGGATTTGTACTTAATTTGTACATATTCAAAGACAAAAGTAAATTGATTTCATAAAATTTTTTTGTTTAAAACTTCGATTCCTTTGCTGATGATGTCATGGCATACCAGCTGGTATTTATAGTTGTATAATTATATAAAAGAACTTGTGTGTATTTTAACCCATTAAGCGGCAGAGCTTCCCCATTGACGAGTAAAATCGTCTGGCGTTAGACAAGTAAAAAAAATAAGTAGGGCGCACTGGGGCGCATTGCCGCTCAATGGGTTAATATAAACTGTATATATTGTAACTTCAGTTTTAATCTGATGATGATTTTTTCGAAATAAAATCGAAATATCACTACTCATTGTTTTAACCCATATCTTGGGTTTCAAGATGCTGATCTTCGGATTATGTTTTGTCTTATATTTTTTGAAATTGTCGGCTGGTATTGGTTTTTGGTTTATAGCCAATCTCGTACCCAGAGCAATGCCTGTGCATGGGCAAAGGAGGCATTGGCTCTGGGGAAATAGAATTTTTCCTGTTCTGTAATTGGTTTAACGTTTATCAATTGACCAATTGGCTACTAACGTTTAACAACCGGAACCCCAGAATTTAGGGGTTCCGGTTGTCTATTTCCCCAGAGCCAATGCCTCCCTCGCCCGCACACAGGCATTGCTCTGGGTACGAGATTGGTTTATAGCAAGCTTGTTCGATCAATTGGGCATCTTGATTGGCTATAAAATTTCGTAAATTAATTCCAAATGTTCAGTGTTGGAAATAACCGTACATGATTTGTGGTTATACTTTAAAAACAAATTTTGACTTTTATGCACCAAATCTTGCAAGATTTGTTTAGAATCACAAACAAAATTTCGGACCATTTTTGGATAATAAATTTCAACCCTGATGTTTGATCAAATTGGAAGCTTGGAGGCAGCTATGATTGTTCTTTTTCATTTATATATCATTCTATTTCTATTGTATGTGTTTTCTATGATTGGATACATATTACATTCCTCATTCGTAACATTTTGGTTTACATTTTGTTAAGTTTGGCTGAGTTTTTCTAAGTATATTTCTAACATACATGTAGCTGCTCATCAGTTTAATAATAGCGAGGTTCCGATTTGACTGCCACTACCGCTACCATTAAGGGAACATGAACCAATCAGATGTGTTAAGTATGTCTACCCGATTAACCAATCACATGCGCAATAGGTCAGCGACAGGTAGCGGTAGTGGAAGTCAAACCTGAACCTTGCTATTGATCTTTGTTAGGAAGCAAACTAAGATATTACTAAGATTTCTTAAGTTCTTACCTTTTTTTCCCAAGGGTAGTGCTTTTGCCCATAATCGTATAAGATTTCCTTCCCTGGATCGATGTCCTTGATGGCAAACAGGCATAATATGGGTTGTCTATTTTTGGCAATGACCATTTTCATTTTGGCATTTATTTCACCTTTGTAGCCATGGTTGACTAGCCTCCCTAGCTTGGGACCATTTTTTGTTTCTTCAGATGCATCATAGCTAAACAGAAAAACAAAAAGATGTGATATTTCTGTATACAATATGTACTTTTTGTTCCTAAAATTGTAAAACACCCAAGGATGTCAAAACACAAAATACAACGAGGCTTTAAGATAATGAGAATTGCCAAGAAAGACAGTCAAATAACAGAGATGCGGCAATAGAATATCTTATCATATTCATAAGGAATTTAATGCACACTCAGACTGGCTGCCCACTTCAAAAAAATATATATATATTTGACAAATTTTGACTGACAAAATAATATAGTCAAATGTATGTCTTGTGCATTACAAATCTTGCACCAAAGTACTTGAACACTTTAGATGAAAGAGTAAACAGCCATTCAAAAGCAGTAATTTTTAACTGACCATCTTAAGCTTCTATTGCATTATAATCATAAAATGGGATATTTTTAATTTAATATGGCCATAATCAACCAGTTTGAAATGACGACAATTTAATGAGCTGTTATAAACATCATAATATGTAATAATAATATTTAAATTTTGAATAGTGCAAATATACATAAGTATAATGACCAAATACACTTAGTACATAACTGATATTTGAATATAATTTTTAGAGGTATTTCACAAGCTAGCCATTTGTGTGGTACGAGTATGTATTAACAGCTGATTACAAGAGACGAGACATGATCAAATTTATCATCAAAGTCAGATTCTACCTATTCATCAGATTTTGGTTAGTATAGGTACTGTTTAATAGTTAATTGTCATTTTAATGCTTACTATAAAGTTTTTCCTTCAAACTTGAAGAAATATCTGCAAATTAATTGATTCTCGTCACTCTCTTCTCGGACCTTTGCCACTTCGCCAGTGATCAGTTCCCCACTATACTCGAGCAGGAACTGCCCTTTCACAAAGGGTTTAGTGGTGAAAACTGCTCTTCCTAAATTAAAAGAGTTATTTAATTTAAGATTCCATTTGTAGATTTAATGGTACTAACATCCCACAAGCAGTGGCAGATTTATACCAGTTATGGTGCCTGTAAATCTTAGGGACAAAAAATTTTTAGAGACAAAAAATAATTCTAATCAACCGTGAATTTTCTGAAAATCATGGGCCTCATCATGGAAGCCTGGGCGTGTATGCTTCAGCCTACTCAGCCTATTGGGTAATCTGCCACTGCCCACAAGCATATCAATTAATTGAAAGATCAGACTTGGGAAGATCTGATCCCTATTTTGCACCGTAATTGTCTGATGGCATTAACCTTGATATTTATAGTTAATATACACCTTGCAATGAGGGGCTTGTACCGGTGTTGTTCAAGTGGGATTCGAGATTTTAAGAGAGATATTGGTTGGGAAGTGGGATTTTATATCATTGCGGGAAGCATGATTGATAAGAAAAACATGGCGAGATGCGGGAAAGTAATCCATGTTTAGCGGGAAACGGGATAAATCAACAAAACTTGCAGCTGTATTTTAGGTTATTCTGCCTGTCATTTGTTTTAAAAATTAACTGCAATTCAATGATCTTGCTTCACCTATCCCACTTGATTCTCTGTTATTCGATCATTAATGTGCCTATTAGCAAGAAAAGCAAGAAACGTCGACGTGGAAATTATGTTTGCGTGCTCAATTTACGGTTCGAGGATGATATTGAACATTTGTTCCTCACCAACCCCCCATTTACATGTATCATTGCGGCTTTCATAAGAGTCGCGATTTAGAGGCATTTAGTAATTTTACACTCTGTTATATTGTATTCTAGTGTATTCAAATTGTATTCTATGTCGTTATCACGTTATTCGAATACCTGGTTATTTGTTGTTGACTTCTAAATCATAACCGTTTTGAACAGTATGAGAAAAAGGCAGGGGCAGGAAATTGGGATGAGGAATGGCGGGATAACGGGATTTGAAGTGAAAATTGGTCTGGATTTGGGAACCCGGTACAGGCTCTCTCTCTGCAATGGCATCACCTAAGTAAATTTACATGAACTTGTGCTTAGAGTTCCACAACTGGCCTCTGTAGCTCAGTTGGGTAGAATGCTGCATGTGAATTGCAGGGCCGCAGATTGAATCCAGCCAGAGGGTTATACCGTAGTTGCATTATTTGCAACTGCTCCTGGCTTGGTCTTATAAATGTATGCAAAAGGAAACCGACTTGTTTGTTCAACCTCAATATCCTCCAACAGTAATCAAATCTGGGAGCCCACAATATTGGTGCAGTGCTCTGACTGCTGACCAATTACAGAGTCCAATTGCCAAAGAATGATTACAAGTTCTTGAATATAGTCAGTGATCTAGGGACCAGGGCTCCGGCATAACCTTTGGGTACATGTTAAGATGAAGTGCCCTCAATATAATATATGATACAAGTTGAGGATACTGAATTGAACTTCTAGTTTAGAGTATTCTATATTAGGTTCATAGGAAATTTACATAGAATAAAATAGACATATTTAATCAACTCCATTTTGTTTGTTAGCTGGATTTAATCGGTGCAGTTAAAAAATTGTAATTTGCTTGGAATGTTTTACAATAGGATACAGTTTTCCTGTGGTACGCGAAACAAATGTGTCGTGCTTGCTGTTTTCATCGAGGATTAAACATGTCGCCAAAATGTAGTAAGTGGGTTTTATAACCTGGTGGGAAATTTTAAAATTGCCCACAGCGTAATGCGACTGCAATTTGTGAATAAGTCAAAAACTATATGGAAAGGATTCTTCAAAGATGAATCTTACAAACAAATTTAAACGCGCAAACAGTGTAGGTGTGTATGGGCCTTACGAGCCTTGTAATGAAGATTGCATTCAGTATAAACGATACTTCTAAGTACGCCAAAGACAGAAAAATGTTATCGCCAATGGTTTGTGTTACGCCACATTGCAGTAATATGTCAATACTAACACAGAACTTCAAGTCAATACAATTACTACGCGCTCTTGTCTCAATTTGATTCGCTTCCACGTGCGTAAGTTTAAAATGAATCGACCGTAATTCTTAGGTATACCTTTTACTGGTAGTTGACGAATCTCGAAGCCTTCAGGATCTTCTTTCTTATCATGAAGACGCTTTGCGTTTTCCACCTCCGTTGTCTCCTTCACTAACTGTCTCCGCGCCATACCAATGCTTTTATTTTACTTCCGAGTTTGATGTACTTTCTCTCTTGACGGCTACTGCAAATGGCAAGTTTCGTGTAGAAGCTGATCCTGTAACACAGTCCTATTTGCATATAAGTCGCGGTTTGCTGCACAAGCGAGTTGAGATAATGACTTGGCATCACATGTTATCTCACACCTTACGCAGCGAGCGGAATTAATGACTTTATTTGACATGTCATGTTTCACACCTTGTGTGTCAAAAACAGAAAACCATACCTGAGGAACAAAGAAAAAATACTTCAAATAGTAATTTCATGAGTTTTTCAAAACAATTTACAAGATTAGACTGTGTCAAACATACCTTATTACCCTGCATATAAGCGCTGCACCTGTAAGCGAATTTTCTGCAGTTCTGGAGAATTGAGAAAAATTGGAGTAAAAAATGACGTAAGAAATCGCGCTCAAGAATATTTTGTCATTGAACAGTTTTGTGTGTCGCTAGAATACATCGTGCAGTTTAGGAATGTAAAATATGAATGTTAAAATTAGTAGGATCAATGTGTCTTTGTAAATTTGATATATTGTTTTGGTAACATAGCATCCTTTGAAAATCGTAACTTGTTCAAAAACAGGAAATATGTGATAATAAAATTTCGCCAGAAAGATTGCCACTGAAAAAAATGGCCTCTGACAAGGCTCAAAATAACGGACGATAGGTTTCTGGTCAAAAATAACCGGTGAACTTGATTTTTTAGCTCGGTCAAAATCTATTTTTGGCAGGTCACTAATACGCATATACTAATAGCAGAAGAATTTATTTAGAGACATCTCTTTTATTGTTTCACAGTGTCAGTGACGTTCTAAATGCTCAAGGTGTTTGGAATCACATTGTATAAAGGTGAATAGGCAACGTTTTATCATTGTTACTGTAGTGCTTACGCGGGTAAATCTGTATCACAAGCATTTAAAATTCTACTGGAAGGCAGGTGTCCCAGCAGATTTGGACCCCTCTCAAAATGGACCCCCCGGTCCAAATCCGCTAGCGAATATGTGCCTATGGGGGTCTTTATTCGCTAGTGGATTTGGACTCCCCCCGCGAATTTGGACCCCTCACGTATTTTATCATTGTAACGTATTGTATTTTGAATATTGCATCAAAGCGTTTTAAATCGTCATAAATCTCATCTGATTTATGTAAAAAACCGTTCGAAGATTTTTAGATTAAAAAATTCCATGAAAGCTTAGATTTTTAGATTAAAGAATTCCGTCAAAGTTTATGATTTATAATTTTTCTGCAACATAGGTTTATTTCTATGATCTTGGAATGTGCGAGAAGCGAATGAAGCATTCACAAGTATTTTACGCCTTGGAATTGCTATCTGCTCTGACGCTCAACTGCTCAAATAAAAACGGAAAATGAGAATATATTTCAAATTATTTTTGCCTTAACTCATTCTCATCCGGTCGAAAAGTAGCAATTTCGAGTGGTGTTGTTTCAAACGCTTATATCTCTCAAATTATACATCGCACGGAAACAGAAATTGCATCGTTCGAAAGAGGAGGACTTCTGCTTTCCAACGATACCAATTTCAATTTCATCCAGAGCTTGGTTAACAATTTACTCGCATAAATTTGCATAAATTATGATATAAAAAAATGTTGCAATTATGCATAAATGTATTTAGCGGTTCAAATTTCAAATATGTCAAAAAAATTTATGAAGATGACTGAAAGACACGGTTATGATCTACAAGTACCCGAAGTTTCATGCATGTAGCATAAATAGAAATATTTTTATTGAATTTTTATATAAACTAGGTAGTGGAATAAAATTTACATTTTGTGCTCACATGAAACAAATACTTTATCAAAGGTCCTTTTTTATTGCTGCAACATGTTATCAATACAAATTTCCAATATTTCTTACTCTCCAAAGATAGCATGGCACCAAATTAAGTCTGTGATACCCACAAAAGAACACTCAAATCATGATTAGCCAAATGTCTTTATTTCTACAATTACTACATACATTCTTAGATAATCGTTACACCATTGGCTTTAGTTATTAGTGGCATAACCAGCCTCAAGATTTGGTCATGCTATTCAAATTTGAAATAATCACAGACTACTCATTTGTTTAGAAATTGATTGTTTTCACAATCTAGAACATGAAGATATTTGCAAATAGCATGACCAAGTGTTGTTGGGCTGGCATCATCATAATTAGTAGTTATAAAAAAGTAATGTTTTCCAAGGCAGTAATGTTTGCTAAAGCAGTAATGTTTGCCAAAGCACATAATTGGATTATGTGGTGAAAATATTTCCTTTATATTGTACTACAAAAGATACACCAAACTGATATCAGATCACCACGTCATACCCAAATCTGTTGCGATGAATATCTGGACTTCTTCCTGTATAAATTTCAAAGTCGCAATATAACCATTAGGATTGTCTGCAGCAACCCACAGATTTATTCCCCACATAGTAGGTCATCTAGCTTTCATGAACTGCCTAACCCCCAACCTATTTCTTGATTTGACAGTGTGTTTGTCTGCAACAACAATATTCTGTGACGGCTGGTACAGTTGTTGATGCAGTTTATTGCTGTAGTCTTTAGTACAGGATCTACCATATTCACAAACGCCATAAGCGCTTTGTACCTAACCCGAGAAATTATGTCTATTGCCCACATACCATGATATAAGGTTTTTACACTCCAATAATTTTTAATCTCACTGTCGACCTTTAGCAAACCTGCATATTATACTAAAAGGCAATCAACCTCTCAAGGTTCGTGGACTGCAAGACCCTTTTTTATTAGTATATGGGGATAACTTTTGAGTTATTTGTACGTGGGCATATGTATTGGTATGGCCAGGAAACTACCTCCTGAAGCATTCCCTTTATTTAGTAAAAAAGAGTCGAATGAACTCAAGCTCACAGTTCGTTGAACCGAATGAACTCAAGCTCACAGTTGATCGAAATGGATCCTGGACATGTCAGTGAGGAGCAAAATCTGGGAGAACATTCCTGGCGTCAGGATCATCATATCCGTCATGTACTATGGGGCCTAGTGGGGATGCTAGACAGGGAGCTTTT